TGTTTCAATAGACCGGGAATCACTACAGGGGAGCAGTAACGCAAAATGGAGAACGTATTGTTTAAAAAAATGAACAAAACTTGTTGAGGAGTACAAAATTGTCTGAGCTTTCGGAGCTGAAAGAAGAGGTGCTGAAGTTTTCCCATACAGTTCTGAATGTGTGTCGACCACCGAAGATTATTATCGATAGTAATACCCAGATATTTGGCTGAGGTTACTCTAGACAAGAGGTTACTATTAAGGGTAACAGAGTCTGACGGGAATGTAGAGCGGGAAGAACTAAAAATGCACTCGAAGCACTTGGATGTGGTAAGAGTAAGGCCAGACTGGTTTGAAAACTGTTCGATTCGGGACAGATTTTCAGTGGAAGAAGAAACGGTCTGACCTAAAACGACATCGTCAACACACTTTTGGATATGAGCAGAGTGTGGAACTGAAAGATCACTAATGAAAGCAGAGAAAAGATACGGAGAGAGGACAGCACCTTGAAGCACACCAGAATTATTGACTAGAGGACTTGAGGTATTCTTGCCCAGCTTTTTGCATTGGGTTCTTTCGGTGAAATAATCAGAAAGCCATGAAAGCAGCTGTCTTAGCTGGCGCAGAAATCTCAGGTCAGCAGGGAGTGGCGTTAGCGCTGAGCTAGCGCGCCAACGCTGCATTACCCTCTTGNCCTCTTGGGAACCAATATGGTCAAGGATTGCTGTGGCTCGCTTCAGAGGTAATCCCACCAACCTCACCGTGGTAGCAGTCTACGTCCCTACTCTACCAGCGACAGCGTAGCGAAGGACGAGTTCTACGACAGTCTCCAGGAGGTAGTAAATCGCATCCCCAACAGAGATGTACTTATCGTGGCGGGAGACTGGAATGCTCGAACGGGTGGACAAGAACCTTTAACTAGACATATAATTGGAAAATTTGGATTCGGCCATCGCTTCGAAAACGGTGACAGACTAATTAATTTCTCCGATTCCAATCGGCTATCTATAACCAATACGTGTTTTCAGCACCCCAGGAAACACCTTACCTGGTACTCCAATGACAGTATAATAGCCCACCAGATCGACTATATCTTGACACGATCACGCTAGATCTCATCAGTAGAAGACTGTAGATCGTATCGCGGTGCCGAAGCGGGCAACAGAGGTGACTCTGATCACATGTTGGTTCGTGCGAAACTTCGCCTTCGGTTGACTACTCGTGTCAAGACTATCCCTCCAAGTCGCCTCAATGTGTGCCCATTAGAGTGTTGCGAGAAATCAAAAACACTGATGGATGAACTTAAAACCCGACTGGCAAATAAGTCTACCTCATCGATCATCGTAGCAGACTCCGCTGATGTGCGGTGGTCCAGGATAAAAACTGCAGTACAACAAGCTGCACTAAACAAACTTGGTACCACGAAACGCTACTACAAAGATTGGATATCAGAAGAAACCATCCGTCACTCAACCCTGGCCATGAACGCCCGTCTAGCTGGCCACCACGATTACCAGCGACTCAGACGGGAAGCAACCCGCTCCGCAAAAGCGGATCAGAGCAACTACTGGGACGAAATAACGATCAAGATGGAAACCGCAGCCAGTGCATGTCACTTCGGAGATCTCTTTCGCTTCATAATATCAGCGTCCGGTAGAAGGCAATCTTTACAACCCGTTCTGCGCGACTCCTCCGGGGGAATGATCTCCAATATCGACGGTAGAATGACCAGATGGGTAGAGCATTTCAGTCGACTTCTCAGTCATCGCTGGGTAATTCGGTGTATATTTATCCCGATATGGCGTCCCTATACTAGGTCGACTGTGATCCCCCAACGATAGAAGAAATGATCGCAGTGGTCGGTCGCTTGAAGTTTTGTAAGGCCCCTGGTGAAGACCGAATCCCGGCAGAAATATACAAGAAATGCCTTCCGGTGGTGATCAAGCCGCTTCACTCTCTCTTTCGCGCTATTTGGGAGACCGAAACATGTCCAGCTGATTGGAACACCTCGGTTTTACTTCCGTTTACGAAGAAGGGCGACAAGACACTTTACGAGAATTATCGGGGCATCAGTCTGCTAGATGTGGCTGCAAAAGCGTTTGCCCAGCTTGTGCCTAATCGATTTGCTACAGGGAGGCATGCACGTACGCGGCCAAACCAAGGAAACTTCTAACCCGACAAAGGATGTATCGATCAGATTTTCATTCTAAGGCGAATTCTGGAACACCCATACAAGTTTCAGCGCCCTACCGCTACATGTTTCGCCGCATTCGATTCCAGTACATACTGTATTTTTTCGCATCACCTTCCCTTCGTGCACAGTAAGCTTTTTTGGAATATGTGATTTATCTATTCGCGTGTTATTCATGTTCATCATGTGATAAAAAAGCTGGAACAGAAAGTTTTCTGTGAGTGAATAAATGTAACGGCCGTGATATAATATCTAAGTTTTCACCAGGTCACGGCGCTTGCACAATGCCAATTTTCATAATAGCCACATCAGTGGTCAAAAATCTCTTACACAATCCTTCATTCAACTGTTGCTCTTTCCACAATACTTTAGCCAAACG